ATTTAGATTCAACTTTATTGTCATTGCACATTTCACAAGTACAAAGCAACGAAATGAATAAAGTTAATACAAGTACAGTAGAACAAGTTAATCCTGACCTGCGGACTTAAAACAGCTCCCAGGGCAGGTAACCTTCAAACTTATTAATAATATCCTGTGTATGGATGGGTAAATTAGTAGTTATCGTGATATCATTTTTCCTCAATAGCAAAATATAACAGAATCCAACATGCATCAATATGGTGCTTATGCATTGTGTAAGAACCGTGGTCTTGGAACAGTGATTTGTAAAATGTTGTTCCGTTGTGTTAACTTTTGTTTATTGATTAATTATTATTATGGTTATTATAATTATTAACAATGTTACAACGTGTTTGTCATTCTCAGTCCATAAAGACGAGTTTTGCAGTGTGCTTATAGTCCAGCCCTGTTTGACTTATTTGTGTATTGTTTTTCTTCTGTTGTTTCTTATTTTTCACTTCGCTTCTGTAACACTGAGAAAACACACATGTCATTCCAACCTTTTTATTCAGATGATCCTATAAAAGCACAGTGATCAGTCTGGTGTTTGAACATTTTCACCCTGGGACCCTCTGACCCGCACAGCAGGTGCAGAGCGGCGGTGATGGAGGAGGCGGTGCCCGGGCAGGTGGAGCCGCTGCCCCGGGAGCAGCCGCCGCCGCCGCCTCCGCCGCTACACTGCACAGCTGCTGGTTGTCATGGAGGAGCAAAGATGGCGGTCCTGGCCTACAGCCTGGGCAAACGCGAAATAAACCAACACTTCACCATCAAAAACGCCAAAGTGATCTCGCTGACGGTCGTGCTGCTGCTGCTGCTGTTCCACGCAGCCTCGCGGTATCATGGAGGTGAGTCTTCCGCCGTTTGTTCAACTTGCTGCGGACGCAGCCGCCGACCCCAGCTAATGCTAACGTTAGCCCGCTAGCTGCCCTGCGCTCCTCGGTCCGCAGCCTCTGTCCCGTGTCTCGCTGGGGACACGTCCTGACGCTGCGGTTCGTTTTAAAGCAGAAGGACGATCTCACTGAGTCGATTCAACAACAACAGTGGCTTTGACTTATATCGGCTGTGCTGCTGTTGCTAACTGAATCAAGCTAAAGCACCGCTTTTTACTGTGTTTACATGCTCCGATCAGCACACGCCTGGTTACTGCTGGGAGCAGCCATGTGTCCGATGCTGTGACTAACAATAGACATAACAGTGTCATTAGCATCAGGAGGCCGGTGCTTATTTACATCAGCAGCTTAAGCCAGTCTGCTACCTGGACGAATAAATGCTAAATATGAATGCAGCATTAACTTTGCAGCAGCATGGCGTCTGTGTCAGGTCTGTGGCAAGTTTGCATTAGCCTGTCTGGTGCAGATTAGTTAGCTACAGAGGCTTTACTGCACTGGAGACTCATTTCAGGTGTTAAAAAGGTTGGATCTCGGGATGCACATTAAATGTATGCACCTCACAACACACAGAGACGGCACAAAGCCCAGATCAGGACTGAATTAGAAGCATGGCACACGTCCACCTCGCAGCTGGGTTGCAGAGTGTGTGCACGTAGGTCATGAAAGGGATCGGAACCAGAGACCTGTGTGCGCGCACTGGGAGCAGCTGCTCTGGCTGCCGATGACACTGAAAATGCCCTCGTCTCTCGCCAGCCCGCTGATCCTCCATGTTCTCTCGTTTCTATGGGTTGATTCAGTTGTGGATGACTCTATTCATTTTGCACATAAATGAATAGCTGGAGAGATTTCTGCTTGAGCTAAATTGCTGATGACTTCATCTCGTGCTACGGCCCCAAGCAGAGCCCCGCATTGTATCCTGGTGAATGAAAAGCCAGGGCACCATTGAGACAGCAACTTTCAGTCATAGTTGCAGAGGAGCTGAGGCCGAAAGCGAGATGTCTGTCTTTGTTTAGTCTTACTGGTTGGTCCTCTGTGTCTTTGCCTGCAGGCGGAGACTCATGTGAATGGCTGCTGTCCAGAGGACGCTACTTGGGGGAGAACGTATGGCAGCCTTATGGCTGCATGATGCACAAATACAAAAGCATGTGAGTCACACACTGTTGCAAGGTTACTTTATAAAGTACTCATTATATGTGCAGCATCTCTCTCTCTCTCTCTCTCTCTCTGTGTGTGTGTGTGTGTGTGTGTGTGTGTCTGTGTCAGTAATGATGGATGAGTAACTTGAGAATAACCAATTTGAAAGATATATCACAAGGACAAACAGCATGTAACAGGATCCCCTTTTAATTAAGTTACCACACCAGATGAACCACCAGGCAGATGACTGATTGCCATCTGCAGTGCAGATACACAGCTTTCAGATTCCTCACCATAAATGTTTTGTCTTACAGTGAGGCCAAAACCTGCCTTGCTGATAAGCGGGTGGCCTTTGTTGGTGATTCACGAATCAGGCAGCTATTTTACTCCTTCGTCAAAATTATAGACCCTGAAAGAAGAGAGGATGGAAACAAGGTAATTATGAGATACAGCAGCATGTGAACCCAGTGTTTTTGTCAGCAGAGACGACAGGGACAAAAAGGAGTACGGTATACAAATCTATAGATCTACATATTAAAGCACAGCTTGGTACAAAAAAAACATTAGTGTACATATAGTCAGACATTTCTACATTTACTCTCAGCTTGTTCCAGACTTACAACTGCATTGTGGCTGATCCATTAAATGTTCCAAATAAGAATATGCTGGGTAGAGCAGGCAGAGAGATGAAGCTGTCTGTGTCTTCAGTTAGAAGTTATTTTTCTTGTGCATTTTCCCAGTTCCCTCCAACATTTGTTGACCGGGGGGAAAAACCACCCTCTGTCTCATTGGCTTTGCAATACTTTGCCTGACTACTCCCTCACAGCCATTTACACTGCTGAATCTGAAAATATTCTTTAATTTGTGAACAATCTATAGCTTATTGCTATTGCGACACATTAACTGACATTTTTCTATTCTCTACTATATGTCCATGAAGATTTTCATTGAAGTTCCCAAGTATAATGAGGCCGTCAGACTTGGCATTTAGGAATTTCACTGCAACAAAATGTTTGATAGAACAAATACGCCACAGAGTTACATGACAATATGCAGCAGTCACAACTATTTTGGTCTGATCTTGTGCTGTTAAAGAGAAGAACAGTATCAGCCTAACAGACTTTCTCTGTGTCTGTCCCCATGTAATGTCTGAAGCATGAGGACATTTCCTTTGAAGAAGAGAGTTCCTCTGTGAATGTGGTGAGCTATTTGTGGATGTGCGTTTTTTTCTCCTGTTCTCAGTCTGTAAAAATAAATATTAAAAAAAACACGTACGTCCTTTTTTGTGTTTAGGACTTCCTGTGGTATCCAGAGGCAAATAATTCAATGAAGGAGCGCTTGATATCATGGACACACGTGAGTGTTGAGTTCTGTTATTAAAAATTGGGGAGTGGAGAGTTTCATAGACTTGAAATTGTCAGGGTCATTTGGATATGGATTTGCTGGTAACTGCAGATTAACTCATGTGTTGCAGGAAGCTTCAGTAAAGCCAGATGTTGTCATCCTTGGAGCTGCCACTGTAAGCTGTATACATAAGTGCTTAGCAGTGCTTGCACATTTCTTGATAAACAAAAACAAGGTGTTGGCTGAGTTGTGTCAATCGTAATTGTATCTATTTATGTGCCCACTGCAGTGGTCCATCAAGTTGCACAGTGGCAGCAGCGAGACCCTGCAGCAGTACAAAGTGAACCTGACGGCCATCGCTCTGCATCTCGAGAGGCTGGCTGACCATGGAGAGGTCTACTGGGTGCTGCAAGGTAAGCAATTCTTCCACACGTCCAAATCTGGTAGAAAACTCAGGACGGCAGCTTTTTGTTGCTCTGATCATACCTGCCATTAACATAAACCTTGGGTGATCTGTTCACAAGTGGATAGCTCACAGTGCAGTTGTGAAAGAAAAGCGCACACACTTGGAGGATGGATAGAGAGCAATGTGTGTGTGTACACAAATGCAAGACCTCGTATCCAACTGATGTGCTCTGCATAAGAGGAAGTATGAACTCATTCCCTTTCTCAAATTGTGCACGTTTTTTTTGTCCACGACATCTGAAAATTACGGAAAGCCCACAGAGATATATTAAGAAACCTCTTGGGCAATTTAGTTTGACTGGAACAAAAAACTAATAGACCCAGTCTGTGTTGTTTGGATTTCTTCCTCTTTAAATTCCTGTCAGACTAGGAACAGGAAGTGCATTGTTGCCTCATGGCAGTTAGAGGCAACACCACATTTGTTCTTTAAAACCAGAAATGATTTACATGTTAATTTGCATATGAGCTGTGAAGTGAGATGTGATAATGCTCCACACGTGTGGAGATGCATTCTAATTCCAGATGTGAACGGACATCCTCAGAGCTGTCTGATCTCTGATCTGATCACCCCAGATTCGACTTAATACTAGAATGGCACGCAATAGAGCACACACCTCTGTCAAGGACCAACAGTCGTCGGAGATTCAATAAAGCTGCTCTAAATTTCACACACTCATAGATATCAGATCCCTTAATACACCATATTTCAAAGATCCATTAGTTTTCCTTGCATAAATTGTTGAAATTTCAAAAATACCCACATCTCCTCTTTCCACCGAGTTTTAATAAAATCCAGTTCTTATAATCTCATTGAAAAACGTTACTGCCTCTTCTCTTCACTACAATGATTCATCTCTGATGTGATTGCTGCCTTCATATCAGTGTCTGTTAGAACTTTGGGTTAATTTCACACGTGAATCACAGATTTTTATGAACATCATCTTTTTATATATGCACCGTCTCATCTGAACCTTTCTTCCCCCCACTGCCCCGTAGACCCAGTTAATGAGGAGGTGCTGAGTGAGAACAGGAAAATGATCACCAACCAACAGCTCGAGCTGTACAACGAAGCGGCAGCAAACGTGCTCAACAGCAGCAAGCGTAGCGGCAGGTCCCGGGTCAAGCTGTTGGCTGCGTCCCGTCAGGCAGCACTGGAAACCATCGCCCAGTCAGACGATGGCCTGCACCTGCCTGAAAGCACCAGGAACGTGGTAAGCAGGAAATCTGTTGTAATGTCCCAGATTGTTTGGCAGGACATCTGTTTTTATTGTTAACTTTGAACGCTAATCACATCCTCCTCACACCATCCTGTATAATTCTCCTATCAGGGGGCCATGGTGCTCATAAACTCCGTGTGCAACAAGCTACTGAGGCCAATCGACGGCTCCTGCTGCCAAACGTTACCACCCCCCAACTTCCTGCAGAAAATGTCAGCGTGTTTCTTCCTGGGCTCGGCCCTGGTCTTCCTGGTTCTCCACGTCCTTGGCAACAACCGCCACCGCCGACCTGTGCCCCCTGATGTGGAGAGCCTCGAGGAGAAGAAGCCAGCGACTGCAGCTGTCCCCTTCGGTCCAAAGGCGCCCTTCCATGCTCTCTGCAGGATGGGCGTCATTATGGCCTATTTTTACCTTTGTGACAGAGCAGATGTGTTCATGAAGGAGCAGAAGTTCTACACACACTCCAAGTTCTTCATTCCTCTCATCTATATATTTGTGTTGGGAGTGTTTTACAGTGAGAACGGCAAGGAGGTGAGACAGGAGGTGTTCGCAGTTTAGTTTGAGATCTAATTACCCTATAATAGATAATGTAATGATGCACAAAGTTGATTTTAAGTTTCTGAATTCACATCTGGTTTGAAATGCATCTTTTTCACAGACCAAATTACTCAACCGAGAGCAAACAGAGGAGTGGAAAGGCTGGATGCAGCTTGTTATCCTCATCTATCACATATCCGGTGCCAGTGCTGTGAGTAATAAATATGTCTTCTCCACAAATATGTGGGAGTAAGCTGCTTTGAGGAGGTGTTTATTGATATTTGTCTCTTCCAGTTCATTCCAGTGTACATGCACGTGCGGGTGCTGGTGGCAGCGTACCTGTTTCAGACCGGCTATGGACACTTCTCCTTTTTCTGGCTGAAAGGAGACTTTGGACTGTATAGAGTGTGCCATGTGAGCGTACAGTCAGTCACTCAGTAACACTTTAACTAGGATGTTATAATGATTCATTACAGCACATGTATTTTTGACGTACCATCATCTTATTCACCATAAAATAAATGTAGGTGTTTGTTTTCAACTAACCAAGTGTCTGTAATCCTGTGCATCATTTACCCCACACCAGGTGCTTTTCCGTCTAAACTTCCTGGTATTGGTGCTGTGTGTTGTAATGGACAGACCCTATCAGTTCTATTACTTCGTCCCACTGGTCACCTTCTGGTTCGTCGTCATCTACGCCACGCTGGGCATGTGGCCCCAGATCCTTCAGAAGAAAGCCAACAGTGGGTGTCATGTTAAAGAAACTTTCACTATATGTGTTTCACTCATAGTCCTTGAATATGTGAAACAATACACACAATTAATTCGACACCAGAAATGTGATACTTGTGTCATCAGCATGGTCACTAATGTCTGTCTTGTTTTCCGAACAGACAGTGGCATATGGCACCTTGGGGTTTTGGTGAAGTTACTGGGCCTCCTGTTGTTCATATGCTTCTTTGCCTTTTCACAGGTGAAATAAAAATATTTGAATCTGATCAATAACGAATAATCTCCCTTTAGTTCTGAGTGTGTAAAACTTCAAATGATATTGTGCTGCAGCTTTTATATTGCGAATCCCATGTGAGAGTAGTATATGGTGACGTGTTAATATCATTTCTTTACACAGTTTGAAAGAAATATTGAATGATGCATTTGATCATTGTTATTGCCTAAATAATTAAAAATGTTGTATATACATTACAAATCTGAATGGGAACTACATTTAAACTCATTCATTTTAGAAAGTCTGAACTATGCTATCATATTTGGTTTTCTCGCTAAAAAACTCCCACTTATTCTTTTTTTGTTCTCGTGTCTTCAGGGTTTCTTTGAGAGCATCTTCTCCATGTGGCCCATCTCCAAGTTCTTTGAGTTGAACGGAAGCATCCACGAGTGGTGGTTCAGATGGAAGCTGGACCGATTTGTAAGTCCAATGTTTGAGCAGCAACACGTTCTGTGAAATGTAATATGACATTAGAAGCTTTTTCAAGTGGCACACAGTTTTTCAAACTCAGTAAAAACAGAATTGTTTTAATGTGTGTTAATGTTCTTTTGCAGGCAGTGATCCACGGCATGTTATTCGCCTTCGTCTATCTGGTACTGCAGAAGCTTCAGGTGCTGTCAGAGGGAAAAGGAGATGCTCTGTTCTCTGGCAGGATCTCCAACCTGCTTCTCTTCCTCTCTATCGTCTCCTTCATAGTAAGACTTCTCTTCCTTTTGTGAACAAATGTATCGCTTGCAACAGCAGCTTAGGAGAGGATTGTTACTAAACCACAACTGTCTGCTCTTTGTGCTTATAAGAATGTTCTTACTTAAGAGTTTGCTCATCTGTTGTGACAGCTATGCAGGAAGTAAGATCACTCAGTATAGTGATGATCGATTCACCTACGATCCTGTGCCTCATAAGTTGCACTTCCTTCAGTTTGTTTAAACCTCTTCCTCATTTCCAGACTTACTCAATATGGGCCAGCAGCTGCAAAACCAAAACCGAGTGCAATGAGATGCATCCTTACATCTCTGTGGTCCAGGTACAATAATGATCTTTTTCTTTGCTCTCTGACTATTTAATGACATCACACCATGTGGCCCTTTACAGCAATGTTACACATCAGCCAGGAATAACTGTTGATCCTAATAATGTGAATCAGTGTTTTATATTTATGATTCTATTTTAGATGCCATTATCCAAACTGCATGACAGAATGTTGTGTGTAATAACAAGGGAGTTCCCTTTTCTCAAGGCTGAAGGTAGCACTGGTATATTTACAGTCGATCCCACTGGGAACTGCTGAAGATAAGATCTCCGACAGTATAGTTTAACTTTCTCTTCTGGTGCTGGTCCTGATCATACCTGACTTCACCATGCATCCTGGATCGTCTGATTACATGTGCACAGCTCTTTGTTTGTCAGGCACATGTGTCTGAGGTGACCAGTTGGGATTGGATCTCACTTCTCCTCTCTTACCTGCAAATCAACACACATCTTTTCTGTTTGCAAACGTGTTGTTGTTTTTAGCCGGGGTGAGGTCACAATGGCCTTGCAGTGGCTCACCTGCGTGAAATTAAAAGTAGAAGAATTTGAAACGTTATATATCTGATAAACCGCCCAAGATGTTTCATTGTCAGAATACACAGGAAACATTCACATACAAACCACCGCTGAATATGATCTGAGGGAGTTTTCAATTGTCTTGAAGGGAAAGTTCACAGAAAAATGAAAATTCACCAATTATCTACTCACCACTATTTGAAGTCCATTACTGGAAGTATCGATTCTAGCAGATGCAGCGATGCTTACGCGAGTGTGTGCGGTATTCCAGTGTGTCTGTGAATGTGCTTCAGAAGAGGTTATCAGAGGACATTTAGGGTAAAAACATGGTGTAAATCACGCAACTTCGAGTGGAATTTGAATGTCGGGGCTTTCGGACACGTTGATGACACCACACGAGCACTATGAAGGCATTTTATGTTTTTTTTCTCTTGTTTATTTACGTCTGAAGAAGGGGTCCCATTTACTTCAATTGTATTGGATTTGGCTGCAACGCTGTTCACACCTGAGTATTTTGTGGACTCAAACACTTCACCCACCGCTCCATTGGCATAGTGGTGAGTAGATAATGAGTAAAATTTTCAGTAAACTATCCCTTTAAATTCAGATTGGGTTGGATTGGATCACAGCCAAAGGTCACTGCAAATATTCCTCTTCGATTGAATGTCTTAAATAAGCTGTAGACACCCTGCATGTGAATGAGGCACAGAGAGGGCCTTGGTGACAGTATCTCACACTAACTAATCACATCAGACTTCTTTACTTCAGCCCACACCTTTAAATGATAGGAATCTGGTAATACAACCAGTGTTTCACAACTTTCACTGTCAAAGGTTTCTGTTCTCTGTTGTCCACAGATTCTGGCCTTCATTCTTATCAGGAACATTCCTGGCTACGCCCGATCTATATATAGCTCCTTCTTTGCATGGTTCGGAAAGATCTCCTTGGAGGTAAGATGGACGTGGCAGTGAAGTTACAATAATTCAAAAACAACTGACAGTCCTCACCAGCTGTGTGTGAGATGTTGTGTAGCTCGCTGGAGGTAACATAACCAAAAGGAGGAAATGAGCACAATTTACATTACTCCCTATTCATTATGCTTTGTTTGTCTCCCCCAGCTGTTCATATGCCAGTATCACATCTGGCTGGCAGCAGACACCAAGGGAATTTTGGTCCTGATTCCGGGGAACCCTTCACTCAACATCATGGTCAGCACCTTCATCTTTGTCTGTGTGGCTCATGAGATTTCCCTCATCACCAACGACCTGGCCCAGGTGGTCATCCCCAAAGACAGCGTGGCCCTGCTGAAGAGGCTGGGGGCCGTGGGGCTCTTCAGTCTGGTTGTGCTGCTGCTTGCCAGGGGCAGCCAGTCCACTCCTAGCCCCTGATGGGACTGCTTTTGATGGAGAGGGCTTAGCGCTTGGTAACCCACTAAGCCTTCTGCTGAGACTGAGGTGAGGTGCAGATGCAAGCCAGGAGCTGGCCCGGGGCTCGAGGCTAGTGGTGCCCACACGAGACAGTGTCAGCAGTGGTAGCTCAAAAAACACACGGGAGATCAGATTCTTACTGCTTGCTGTGTTTGAGCAGAATCTGTACTTTTTTTGACTGCTGTGAAAGTCGCACACTGAAGAAAAGAAAAATGCCCAGAAAATGGAGGGGACTGCTTCTTTTTAAGGGCAAAAACCACCAGAGAGAAAAAAAGAACAAAAAAAGTTTACATTTTCTGCTTTCAACAGAAGAGCAGAGGAAGAGTTTTTATTCAGAACTAAAAGAGGTCCTCTCATTTCAAGACCCTCGTGCTTGCCGTGCGATTTTTTTTTTTTTTGCAGCGTATTGCTTCTATTTAGCCAAACAAAAAAACAGGCTTATTTTGTCACTTAACAGTACTTCCTGTCATTACTTCAATCTGGAAGGGATCACTAGACACAAACTCCGTCCACGTGGCAGTCGCAGCTGAAGTGTTCTTTGCTCAGGTGGATCCATAATCCACATATTCAGATATCTACACTCATAGGATTCAAATGTTCAGTTATGCTGCATTCACTGATCAGCAGCGCTTTGTACAGTATTTTCAGTGACTTTAAAATAGTGTGAGATATCTAAATATGCAAAATATGGAAAAAAAAACATTTGAGTAAAAAAATAATAATAATTGAGCGCAATTGTGGAAATGTTGGAATATCCCTCAACATATTTTTGCTATTGTTTTTGTGAGTTATTTTAAAAAGCGTTTGCCTGGTACTGTGGTCACCTGCGATAGCCCTGAAATTCTATGTTTTATGTACAGTATTTAATGATTTAAATTAAGCTTATATTTTATACAATGTTCTTTTTTTTTTTTTTGCTTTGTTTTTTTTCTCACGCCCATGACTGCTGTTTGTAAAGGAAGTATTACATTGATCATTTTCTACTGCCTCAGATACACACCACAGAGATTGAGCCATTACAGTCCTCTCCCCCCCTCTGTCCTATTAGCAGCTGACTTCTGAGTCTGTGTATATTTGTACGATAGAGTGAGATATTTATTTTCTACAGTCAGGCTTCATCAGTGTTTTTAGTCCATTAAAAACATGCCTCATAGCTCTGTTGGAAAATGCTGGGTTGCACATATTATTGTACAATAGGGCTAAAAGCTGACTATTCACACACACCCCCCACCCCCCTCTGCTGCCACAGCCGGTGAACTCTTTGGTCAGCGAACAAGCGATTTGTTGAGACTGAATGCCTTTCGAACGTACAGCTTTTTCTCAGTGGCTTATACACATGGCACATCTCCAGATGTGCGTCATCACACCTGCGATGTAGCCTGGGATCACTTCACACTTTGCATCAGGGCCACATCAACATTTAAAAACACAGCTACTTTGTAATGCACTGACTGAGCTGAGGAGACGTATTATTACGTCAAAGAGAAATCTTTTTAATTTCGTCATCTGACAAATGGTCTGTGTCACTGCGTATTTAACTTCACAGACGTTTAAAGGTCCAGTGTGTAATATTTAGGTGAAAGGGATCTAATGGCAGAAATATAATGTAGAATAACCCTCATGATGTTTTCACTAGTTCGTTTCATCTAAATTGTATGAATTATAGTTTTCTTAACCCGAGAAAAGGCCCTTTATATTGAAATACTTTATATTTACATTGAGGGGGTCCTCTACGGAGGCCGCCATGTTTTTTACATTAGTCCAGACTGGACAAACTAAACACCTTTTGAGTTTTTATGACAACTGAAGCTGCCACAGGTTTTTTTTCATGTTTGGAAGGGGAGGGTGAGATGAGGGGTGTTCAGCTGCAACATGAAATTTCAACACTAGATATCACAAAATTCTACACACTGTACCTTTAAGAGAGATTAGCACTTTCATTATTAGGCCTGGGTTTTTCGTCTCATCTCAAACATTTTTACTGGAGAAATCTAATGCTAAGTTAAGATGATTTGGCAGAAAAGAAATGAGAATATTGTAAGATCCAAGCGGTCTTGCATAAGAATTTAAAGTTGCATATTATAAAGAACAACTGATGAGGATTATTGGGTAAAAAAGTTTGTATATCATTATATCGGCTGATACATGTATATAAAATATTTAAGCCCTTGTTTTCACGTTTTAAAAATGCAATTCTGCACTGACAATAACTATAAAAAAACAAATACAATCAATTATAAAACACTTTACTAAATAGTAAACATAAATGCACTTTTCTGCTTTGTTTATTCAGTCAAAATTGAAAATTCAAATTGCCACATACTGCCAAAAAATGACCACAACTGAAGTGTGTGAAGGGCTCCTATCTGCTCATGATCAGACAATTGCTTTTATTGGTTGGGCTCCAGATGATTTTTTTTTTTACAGTGTGGTAGTTAATGATCGCAGTATCAGTTGTTGTCTACACATTTATGTAGCTTCCCTTATAAAAAAAAAAAAAAAAAAAAAAGTGTCTCACAACTACAGATCTCAAGGTCGCTCCCGTCATGGATCTGATTGTGTACAGGTTGTGTTGTTAGCCAAGCGCCAAGTCAATTTGTAATTTGTTTCACGTCCTTGTATAGATGAGACTGGCATTTCCATGCTGCAATTTCCTTTTTATGTGTAAAGTTTACTGATCTGTTCTCCCGTCTATAACCGATGAACAGCTATATATTTGGTAAATTGTTTCAGGCCTTAATGGATCTCTTTGGTCGTGTAAAAGCAACAACTATTTATACCCCAGTGCAGGGCCTGTTACATTCTTTTGTGATGTCTTCAAAAAAAATGTGAAATATATCCACATTATTTATAAATGCCTTTATTCTGTTGTACATTGTTAATAATTATTTCATATAATGTGCTGTGTTGGCCTCCATGTCATTCAGACATTACTTTTGTCCTGTTTATTAATGGTTTTTACATCCAGTAAAAACAATTTTGAAATATTTTATTGTCATCATGTGACACATTACATATAACACATGACATGTAAAACTCCCTCTCTTTCCTTTAAGAGGTCCATTGTGCAAAGCAAGTAAAAATACAAACACTGTAGTTTCAACATTTACACATATTCCAAAATATTTTATAATGCATCTTTATAATTAGCTAAGCTTTTATTCTGTGTCACACTCTCACTCTTTAAGGTGTAAGTGCATGTGGATGATAAAACTTTGTAAAGACACTTCTGAGGCATGCAGATTGGCACAAGTGTTAGAAAAACACAAATATATAGATATGGAAACAACTGTTGCTCCGACACCGGTGTTTTCTGGTCACAAATTTAGGGCTTCGGCCACCTTTCTCTCCTCAGGAATACCATTTACCTGGAATAAACACAAAAAGCCAAACATAAAACTTTGTCGCCGGCAGCAAACATTGAAAATATGATGAGCTGTTAGTCGTGTTTAGCAGAGGAGCTGAAATAACTTCACGAATAAAAACAACTCACAAATCTCACAACATTAACTGATAAAACAGAGCAGGGGTACCCACCTCCAACCTTCGAAACGTTGACATGACATAATTATCTCCTTCGTTAGCATTGAACAGAGAGAGCAGCGAGGTTAGTTGAGCATGCAGGCAACTACCATGCACACAGGAGGGCGCTAACACACCAACACCAGAGATGGTGTCTCTCTCACCAGGGCAAAACGATTCGCTCTCAGTAAACTGAGACTAAATGAGTAAAGTCTGGAAATTTGTGTTGTTTTTTTGATTTGATATCTATGAGTGTCATTTGGTGCAGTTTGACTGAATTTAATCGGACTGTTGGGCCTTGGTGGCGGTATGCGCTCTAATTCCAGTTTTCACTAAAGATCTTACAGTGAATTATCTGTATATTGTGCTGACATCTACTTGCAAACACCTCAACCATGTATCAGCATCTTCATTAAGCAATTTCATTACATACTATACAGAAACAGTAATGCAGACCGTTATATAAAAGCTGGAGGTGGAACTAACCTGATGGCCGCTGCTGTGGTATCGTAATCTGATTTTGCAGGTTCCTGGAATCATAAACAGTGATATTATGGCAAACACACATGAGCCTTTCATATCATGTGAAAACACTTTGTACTTAAACATTTTTCCAGTATCAAGCCCATTAGTAAAAATCATGGGACAGCCTGAACCTGATAAGCTGTGGTTGTATTTTCTAAAGGCCCACTCACTGCAGCTTTAGCCATGAACATGGGACAGTGAGGGTGCTGAGAACAAGATTAAACCATAAGGCTGTTGTTTCGACTTATACTTCCTCGTAATGACGCCTGTAAGCCATACATCTGTGACTCGCTAATGAGCCGGAGTGGTCATTATGAGCGTGTGAATTGTTTTTCGCGTTATGTTTAATCCCTGTACTCACGTCTGTGTCTGCATGAGGGGCATGCTGGTGGTCTCGTAGTTGTCGGGGTGGATGGGCGGCACCACCTCGCCGCTGACCGGGTTGAAGACGGGAAGAGTGGAGAGCGGCCAGGAGATCTCGCGGTTCTTAGACATGCTCCGCAGCTCCTTGGTGGACTTCTGGATGGAGCTGTGGTGAACCAGCTGGATGCTGGGGAGGGGACAGGCAGTGGAGTCAGTGTGAGCGTGTGATGTTGTGTGCGCTGGTGTTAACTTGTGTCGTCCCTTTTGCAACAGAGAGATATTTAGACATTTTCTATGAGCCAGCGATTTGTGTCTGCTGCAGTGAGATATGCATGCGCAACAGAAATCATCCGCTGTCCCCTATCTCTGCATCTGAGTCATGGTGCAAGATACTTTATGTTCTGGATCTTCAAGGTTTGAGACATTTGAAAAGCAATCACTGCTAACAGCGAGAATTCCTGTTGTCTGTTCATTAGATTTTTGAGCAGCCCACTGGATGAATGGATGTCAACACAGATGAGCTGATGAATGGTTATGAGAAAGCAGTCAGTGACAACATAGATGACAAAACTGCAAAACCAAAAGAGAGAGAGGGGAGGGAGGGGACGGAAACAGCCAAAATAAAGAGAAACACAGGAGAGGTAAAACACTTACTCTGGTGTTTGCATGTTTCTTTTTTCCCTAGAAACAAAACAAAATGGATGAATTAAATACTAATATTAATAGTTAAAGAGACAGCTACACACACATGAATGGACTGATGGGTAACGACAGTGTGAAAATGCTGATGGGGCGTGGAACATTGAGTGAATGAGGGGGCGCGTCTCTCCCAGCCTGTGGATGATGGAGAATGATGAAAGGATTTTTAAACGGATGAATGAGCATCGATGTCATGCCTACGCTTCAAAACATCAAGATGTACATGACAAAATTAACAAAAACCCATGACAGAAATGTATGGGCAACTTAATAAATGTGGAGCGTACAACTGGATGGTAATGACAAGCTGCAATTCCAATCCAGATTTTTTGCTAACTGCCCTGCACTAACCTTTCTGACTCATTGTCTTTCATGTCACTGCCACTGCTCTCCTCACGTTTGTCTGGGTGTCTGGTGCAATAGTTGCATAGAAATGTAAGACCAAGCACACTTACACCCCCTCACGTCGGCAGCACATAGTGTAGCCGAGGATGAAGAACAGGACTAGAGCCACAGCAAAGGGAACGGCCAGTGTGATGAGGAAGTCGTAAAAGTAGTCCCGGCTCTTCAAAGACTCAGAGGGGGGGTTGTACTCCCCAAACTCAGGCAGGATCCCTGTGCCTGGGTCAGGACGGGTTATGTATACCGGGACTACTTTGTTGATGTCAACCTGAAGAAATAAGTATGAGCAAGCAAGTGATGTGATTAACCCAAGTACAAGTTATTATCATTAAAGCAGGGATTGGTAATCCTGGAACAGCTAGCAAGAGCAGGCTACACTACAAGAAATGTAAACGATACAGCCCACTCCCTCCCATCAGCCCTCTCGTCAAAAATTTCATTTCATTTAATTCGATCTGAATGAAAAGATTGGCTGCAAGGGCCACTTTTAGGATGGCCTTACTTATTCACTGCTATCATGAAGAGGAAAACATACAAACGCTACATTTAATGCTACTTAAAAACCCGAGTTTTTAAACCGTGTTGGTGCGAGAGAATCCTCACCAGAGAAATCTTACACCAGTCGATGTGAAACTGAGCTCTGAACTTCTTGTCACAGCTGATGACCGGCTCCATCTCCTGACTGCAGCGCAGCTGGTTGTGTGGGCTTTCCACCTCCCGCAGGCATGAAGAGAAGGGAACATCAGCACCAACCATCACGTACACTCTAGGGAGAGGAAGAGAGGAGAAGACGAGCATTCATTTACATGTTTGTGCAGAGGTTTGTGATCGTCAGAGCGTTTCCTCTCCACTGAGTGTTCTCCTTGACGCTTTCATCTTCCAAAACGTCAGCATAAATCTTTGATGCATAACTTATGGCACTTCATGTGGGCTATTCCCCTCTGAACTAAACCAACTGACAGTGTCTATCAGTGCTGACAGCCTCGTGTGTTCATCTAACTCACAGCGAGCCGAGCATCCCCAAGGCGCCAATTAAATACAATGTCAGATTGGTGTGAGTGGGCTGAATGTGTTGGCAATTTGTTTGATTGAGGGGGGTGAAGAGGTCTTTGATGGAGGGAATCTTAAAGAGAGTAAGACCTCATGATTTTTGCGTTAAATCCCACACATTCTTTTTTTGTAAATATGAGCAAATGTGGAGGCAAGCAGAGCAAAGTCTTATATTGTAAAATAAAAAACTACTTGAAATCAAGTCCGGTTCAACCTCACCCCTCTTTGAGGTTATTGATGGGCAGAGGCACCCGGCCACCACGGTCCAGTGCTGAGGTGATGTTGATGGCGTTGAGGCGTTCGGGCTGCCATACGTTCTTCACAGCTCCGAGGAAGTCTCCCAGCACCTCACTGGCCAGCATTTCCTCCACATTCATGTTTTTGATGTAAAACTCCGCCTGGTAGGGCAGAGGGAACTCTGTGCACAGGAGATGAAGAGAGGAAACTTAGATAAAGAGCTTGAAACATTGAGAAGCAAATGAGGTGGGAGCTTAGAAGCTAAGATGATACATCAGACGATTACCGCACTGTAAAGACGAAAACATGAAATCGCTCGCCTCATTATGATTTTTAAATTATGTAAACAAGAATGTTTAGTGGCTTTGTAAACTTGGTTTTTGCTTCAACTAACTTCATTTTTCATTTGTAAAGTTGCCCTCAATCCATAATTTGATGGAGGCCAGACAAGTTACAAACAGGGTCTACAGAGCAATTCTGCAGGGGTTTTCAAAGAGACTGGGGTCTGCTGATCATTTCTGTGGGGTCAAATGCTCGACCTCCTCTCATCTCTCTTCAGAGATAAATGGTTGGCAAGAATTTTTGTTATTGAGTTGGCCTAAACATTTTAAATGTAGTGCAGTGAGTTGTCTTGAAATTTTAAGTTTTTTTAACTTTTTAATTTTTTCGCGTGTCAATAAACCTGAAAACGGAGCACTGATGCTGTGGTGTTCTGCTGACGAAGACATCATTGTGTCTTTATTGATGCTGCTATCTGTCCAGCAGACGCTGGTGTGTCGGCTGCGCTCTGATATGACTTGACCTACTTCAGGGGCCAGATGGCACATGACATCACAGCACAAAGAGAGTGATGTCACATTAGTGCCACAAACATCTGCTGTGCATTCATCCGACTCAGTTCATATTGTTTTGCATGTACCGTGACTGGTCACTGAACCAACGCGCAAACACAGAGGTGCACAGATGTGAGGTGTGTCCACAGAGATGAACAGGAGCGGCTGCGTCCAAATACATACTGTACATTGTCTGCAATCATTTACAACACGTTTCAACACAGGACGTTGTTATTCAC